CTTTCTAAAAAAAAAAAAAAAAAAAAAATCACTCGTACTTCAAGTCAAAACTGAAATGCCGTCTCCTTTTTTTTGATACTTGTAATGATTCTTGAGCAAAATAGTCTATGAAATGGTGGCAAACCTACGGCACACATGTTTATTGTGTTTTTCTTTTAAGTCAAAACATGTTAATATTTGAGTGATTTTTTTCTAAAGTAAAATCTCAGTATTCAGGCTTAATTGCAGTGTTGACACTTTGCGATTAAGTGGGTTTTGGGTTGCAGTTTGGGCACTTGTCTCTGAAAGGTTTGCCATTACTGGTACTGGGTATTAATCACTTTTCAAATTGGTATTTCTTACATTATATATTACATCAGACTATTTATTTACATGTTTTATATGCCCTAGAAATGAAGTCGTTATCTTTACAATTCAGTAGAGGCCAACATATTTCACACATAATTAGTGACAATTAACTATTCAGCTCAATTTAGTTTCTGGATCTTGTTTTTGACTTTGGTATATTCGAACAGTACGTACATAAACAGATTCTACTGACTGCATACACACCTAGTATGTTTAGGACCGATACTGAATATAATATATAAAAAGAACCATAAAGATTCTATAATTTTTAAAGCCATTTAAACAAAAATAATCATTTAAAAAAGTGCAAAATCACAATGACCCTTAAGATGCCTACAACATGATTTTGCATGTTAAGAGTTGAAAGAACTACTTAGTTTCAACAAAAGAAATTAGTTTCAGAAGTTACATGAAAGAAGACAAAAAAGAAAAGTTAACTGCAAAATATAGAGGTTCTCAAAGCAGATCTGTATTCAGAAGTTATAAATAGGTTCTTTTGAAACTATGGTGCCTATTTCTGTGTTTTCTTTTAAATCTTTTTTAAAAGCTACTTAATTTGAATGTCTAATGAGGGCCAATGAAAAATTATTAGATATACTCAGCTAAAAGACCCAGGAGATCTCAAGGCAGTGTGACACCAGCTATTACTTTAAAAGTATTTTCTGCTATCATATAACCAAGAAAAGCCAAAAAGTTTCCATCTTTCAACTATTATCACTTAAATTATACAGACACCTCATGCGTTTCTTATTTTCTTCTGTATGAAGTCACTGGAGATAATACAATTAATACAAGAAGACACATTTGGAACTTTGAGCATCAGTTTTGGTACTAAAGATTCCTTTCCTGGGGCAGTTTTACAGTAATACATGTTCCCTTTGGTTCACAGTAAATCAATTAGGCAAACCTTTATAAATACATTTAATCTTCCTAACAATCTCTGAAGCATTTTAACACCAGCTTACAAACGATAAAAACTGCACAACTGATTAACTTCTACAAAGTCTCTCCAATCCAGCAAATGGGTAAATAACCCTAAGTTAAGCAACCAGCAAGGGGCAAAATCTGGCTTTAAAACTTCAGCTGCAGCTCTAATTCTTTGTCTTCCTAGAAAGTATTAGCAGAATCAAGTTTAGAGAACATACCACAGTAATTGTGTGACATGGACAAAGAGTGATGATGTAGCCACGTTTTCATTTGACTGTGCACTTATAAAAAAAATGATTAACTGTTACATAACCCATGAACCGTGACCCAAACTTAATCTGAAGTCCGTAGAGTTTCTGATCATACACTCACTACATCCTATGAACACAAGCAGCATCTCTGGCCATGTTAGGCAGAACCTGAAAACTTACCAACCTCACAGCATGGCACTGTTTTTCTGAGTATTTACACACAGCTCAATGAAAGGAAGTAACGGATTGTGAAAACAATTTGCAAATGTATTTCCAATATGTAGATTTCATTTTGTATTTTTCTTTCACTCTGCCCACACACTTTAACGCGAGCAAACTATCATCCCAATTTCATTTGTTTTTTAAACTCATATAATATTTACACTTCAAAAAAAAAAAAAAACTTCAATATTTTCCCTTAAGTTTATCAGTAGGGCTTTGCAACAATAAAATGAAACGGACTGTTCTGCCTGTAGTTTGTTTTGTTTTGCGAAAAGAAAAATACTCGTCTTGTGTAGTTGGACCTTGAGACTTGGCATAGGATCAAGTCCAAAATGTCAGAGCCAGATACGCTCTCGGTAAAGGCAGAAGCCGTCTGCACGGTGTCCTCGCCGCCCTGTTATTCTCTCCCCAGGCCCAAAAGGACGAGGAACAGACGACACAGCCTGGGCCGGTAGGCCTGGCTCCTCGGGGCCTCAGCCGCCTCCAGGCCAAGCGCAGCCGCGCACACCAGGGGAAAGCGTGGTGAAGGCTGCGGTTTGTCCCGAAAGAACAAACTGCTGCCCCGGGGGACGCCCCAGAAGGACAACCGAGGCGACAGGAGGTTCCGCTCCAAAGAGGCAGTGCAGAGGAACCGGGTGGGGCCGGAGTGGAGCGGAATAAGACTGTAAAACTAACCTAAAGGAAATTCTGACCCGACAGCCTGCAACCCGGCGTACCCGAACTCCGCGCCCCCCGCCGCCGACCCGGGCGCGGGGTCAAAGGGCGCCAGTGGAAAGCAGCGAGTCGATTGGCTGGCGGGAGAGGGCGCAGGCGCCGGCGTGGACAGCGGGCCCGCCGCCGCCGCCGAGGCTTTGGGACCGGGTCCTGTGGCTACTCACCAGACTCGGGGAGTCGGACGTCACCAGGGACTCGGCTGGCCGAGCGGCTGCGACCCGGGAAGCGGAGAAATCCAAGAGCTGCCCGTCCGAGCCCAAACGGCCCCGCCTGTCAAACACTTGCTCCAGCCTTTTCGAGAGACTGGTGGAGAGCGGGCAGCGGGGCCCGACAAGCCGGCGGGGCGGGGCGGGGCGGGGCGGGGCGGGGCCCGAGGGTGGGCGGGGCTGTCCAGGTCTTGGTGCGGGGGGCGGGGCGTAGAGGCGGAAGATGGTGGAGTTGACTTGTTTCTCTGTTAGTAGTTATCTTTGCAGGCTCAACTGGGAAGCTCTGTTATAGAGGACAAATGTTTGATTTTGATTTCTAATATTAGGCATTCAAAGTACACTAGTTATTTTCAGAGCTGAGAAACTACAGTATTTTGCCTCTTTAAATGATCCTTTACCTGGAAGGCCAAAGTAGACAGATAAAGGTGACATTTTAAATTTGCAAATTGTTAAAAATCACATTTGTAGTGAACTCACTTAGTAGAAATAATTGAGAAAAGGCAGAAGAAGAAGAACTTTTGAAATAGAAGTTACAACTGAGCGTTTCCATCTTACATCAGCTTTTGAAGCCAAGATAATTATATTTTGTTTGGGTTACCTAGTAACAACGACATATTGACTCAGGCCAGACGTTGTTGATGTGAACAAATTTATCAAGGCTTTTTAAAAGCTCACTAGATGCTTTAAAACCAGTTTTAATTGTAAAACTTGCATAAATGATTACAATCTCATTTGCACATTTTAAAGAATAATAACGCCCTACTATCCACCACAGAGTTTAAGAAATAGAGAAATAACTATATTGTCTTCTCCAGAGCACATCTTTCCCATTATCGTTATGCTGAATTTTGTATTGCTCATTTCTTTGCTTTTCTAAGATGTTATATATGTACAGTTCCTTAAAAATACAGTTTTCATGGTTTTGCCTTTTATGTGAGTGTACATCTTCCATTCCTTCCCTTCCAAACTAATTTTTTTCACTACATATTCAGATTTTGAAATTCATCACTATACAAACCCATTTTACATCAACTAATTTGGAACATCATGATCTATAACATCTGCTGATGTCATACTTTGAAAGTTTTGCCTGGAAATTGTTTTTCTTTTAATTTGCATTTTCCCCCTTGCTAAGTGAGATTTGCATTTTTATGTACTTATGGCTGTTAGAGTTTCTGTGAAAAGTCTCGACTCAATTTGCCCCATTTTTTATTGGATTGCTTTTGAAATTTAATTTGTAAATGATTTTATTTTTATAGTTTACCTATTTACTTACTAATTATTGTTGTTACAAATATCTCCTCTGAATTTGTGGATTGTCTTTTCACTTTTTATGGTATCTTTTAATGATCAAAACCTTTATATTTTAGGGTACTTATGGTTGAATTTAACATCTTAGATTGCAATTGCATGCTCTGTGCTTTATTGTTTAGAAGAGTTTTCCCACCCTGAGATTTTGAACCATTTTTAGTTTCTTCTAAAATCGTAATATGAAATATTTTAAACACAGAAAAGTATAGGATAGTGGGTGGTACAGGCCTAATCCCAGAACTCTGGGTAACTGAGGAAAGAGGACGGAAGGTTTGAAGGCAGCCTGGACAAGTAAGTGACTTGGAGAGACCCTGTCTCAAAAAGTAAAAGAAAGATTGGGGATGTAGCTCAGTAAGAAAGCCCTGGGTTCAATCCCCAGTGCCATCCCCTATAATTTGGTTTGGATTTTGTCTGGGATTTTGTTTAAACTATGTTTTTATTTATATTCAGGTTTTTTAGTCTTTTATACTTTTTAGTGCTTTGTAATTCCTTTCATTACAAGTTAAAACATTTTCCTGTTTCATTGCTAAAATTGGAGATTTTTCTTTAACTTAATAGTTCAGTGATAAAGTGCTTTCTCAACATGAATGAGGCCCTGGGTTTGATCTCCAGCACCACAAAAACTTACATCTTTTTAAATTGGTTATTAATGTTGTATACAAGAAACATTGATTTTTATATATTGGTCTCATATCCGGAAGCCATACTGAACTTTTTGTTCCTTAATTTTATTTTCGGTTACACCTCTTGGTGATTATATAGACAGTACTAACATTTGTAATTATTTTTCTCATGCATTATTTTGACCTCCAGCACAATGTTTAATGAAAGTAATGATAGCATTCTTATCTTATTCCTGACTTTTCTGCATTACTGTTAAAATTTTATCATGAAGTACAATGTTTGCTGTGGGATTTCAGTTGCTACTTTTATCAAGATTATTGAGTGTTCTATTTCTGGTTACTAAATGTTTTATTTTATTATTTTATTTTTTTATTTATTCATTCATACCAAGAGTGACTGTTTAATTAATCTAATGCTTTTTCTTCACCTGTTGGAGTAATTATTATTTCCTATTCTAATGTGATTTTGGGGAGTATTAATAGGTTTTCTGATGTTGAATGAGAGAAAAGGCATTTCTTTTTATAGTATATTAATTCATGCCAACTTGCATAAAAACATGGTATTTATTACTGCCAGAGTAAATAAGCTAGGGTAAGTAGATTTTTATTGCATCTCCCTCTGTGTGTCAGACTCATTGCACAGAAGTGTTTTTAAGCTAAATCGGGGTTATGGAAAATTCTCAATTTGTAATTCTGTCTGCTCTGTACATACTCTGCTACTGGACAAGAATATTGAATTGGCATTGATATGTTGTCAGTACTCTTTTTTTTCACTCATTTCACATAACTTTTTTTCAACATGTTTTGTATACTTTTTTTTTTTTTCTATTTCTCTGGTAGGGAGTGAAACACTATTTTGTTCTTATTATCACATATGTGATATTCTTACATGCTAAATCTTGACATTTTCAAATCTGTGTCAGCAATAGTTACTGCCAAGTCTAATCTATTTCTCATAGGTTTTAAAGTTATATTAATAAATGGAACTAGTATTAAATTTGGTACATTCATAAATTCTGATTAGAAAAGTGTCCAAGATAAATAGGTAATTAGTGCAATAATATAGGGGTCCATTTTTATAAATTTTAAATATATATATATTTCTAATACCATATAAAAACCTAAAACAATATATGCATTGTGATCTGTACTAATCTGAGAAAAAGACAATAAATAAGGAATTTCTTTTTTACTCTCAACTTTCTTTCTCTCTTGCTCTGTCCTGTCAATACATATTTATGTTTTTTTGTTTTAATTAAAAATATAGTACTACAAGAATATGCCTTTGTTCTAACAGATGAATTCTTAGAAGGAAATAGAGTTGCTCATAAATTGTATTTTAAATGTGTTGTATCCAGGATGATCGGTCATGAGTGCAAAGAAAAAAATAATCAAAAGAGGATGGAATGCATGGGGGAATATCAACAGAAGTTTCTCTTCATTTTCAGGAATACTCTTAAGACAATAAACTACCATAGCCTTTAGTTTTTCTGAAATATCATTGATTGCTATAATATCTCCCACCCTACAGAATTTTTTATCTTACCTTGCTACTAAAAAGAGCAGTATCCGTTAGCATCATCATCATCACTATCATTATTTTTGGCCTTAGTAATGAAGATGCTTCTCCTTTTTTTCCTAGACCTAGGGAAATGATTATATTTTCAGTCATCATTTTCTTCCCTCAATTTCAATGGGTCTTACTATCTGTGTCCTGAATATTTCATGTCTCTTCTTTTTCCTCCAGCCCTAGAAGTTTCATTAGGACTTCCTAGACATAGCATGCCCATCTTATATCTTTGTTCAAGACTCACCTAAGAAGTGGATTCTTTTCCAAATATCTTCTTTACCAGAATTTTTGTTATAAGGTATAGAAACTGAATCTGGCAAACTTAGACACAAATAGACCACATGAAAAATTACAAAGTACAACATGAAGTATGTTAGGTAATGACAATGTCTAGGAACCAAAAGAGGCTAGGAAATTGAGTACACAGCCTCACACAACTGTGCAGATTAGGACACTGCTGTTTATGGGATGCACTGAGCTCTCAATACTGTTTATATTGGCATGAGTAGCTTCTTAACTCTGCCTACATTACCTACCTCCTTTTCACAAAATTCAAATTTTTGCATGAGATAGTCTGATTACTTAACCTATACTACAGGCTCCTTAGTGTCTTCAAGTGTAAGCCAGCCCCTTTGGCTTGTTTAATGGTCAATAGAACACAAAACCTACAATATAGCATTCTTCCAAAATCAGAATTTTTTTTAGATCCTAAATAGCAATAAAACATAGCACAAACAAAAACAAAATAAATGAAAATAAATCTAAACAAAAGCATGTTTTTACAATGTGCCTCAATGTCTATACAAAGTCTGCCTTCTCCATGGCTATTCTATTAAATATTTTTAATCTCAACTACATTTATAATTTCATTAATTAAATTGTCCTGTTCTTTATATCACATCTTGCTTTATCCAAGTATAAGTAGGATATCCCATGACACAGTTTGACATTCAAATATGACTCTAAATCCCCTGTGTAGAACGCAAAAGCTTCCACCTGTTGTTAGCAGCTCTCTTCTCCCTAATGCCCTAATCCTTTTAACATATGCCCCCAGAGATCCAGAATATCATTAGCATTCTGACAGCAAAGAATCCAGTCTAACTCCATACATGTAAATTTATGAACTGTGCCACAGATAAAAGAAGCCAGCCTTGCAAGGTGATGACTAAAACGTAGGAGTCCTGTAAATTCATGTGGTCTTACAGTGACCACAAGTCGTTAGGTGACTTCTTGACCAGTGGGTTAGGTGCAGCTCAGCCTTGACCCACACTCTAGGATTAAATTCAATGTAGGTAATTCCCAGTTAAACAGATCAAGCTCCACCTCCAGTGAAAATTCACATTCACTGATTCAAGTATTTTCCCAGGTCATGGCACTCCAAGACCTGGAGATAGGAGAGGGTTCCAGGGTCATTTCCTTTCCATAGATGAGTGGCAGAAAGTTCACAGATGGCTAATGCTGTTAGACTGTAATACTCCAGGCTCTAGTTATGGCCTGTCTCTCCTGAGGGACACACTGTTTCACTCAAACATGATGGTAGTTGAGGCAGGGTCATTTCTGTAGTGGAAAATTGGGCTAGCAGAAAGATGTAGCACTTCCTGAGAGGGGAAAACACTATAAAGAGTGATACAGAGC